CGAGGCTGCGACGTACGTGAGGCGCCTTAGCACGGTATCGTGCACGGTAAGTCTGGGCCGCAAGCTTGGGGGGTAATTGCTGTTCACGCTCAAATGCAACCGTTGATCGTTGGAATCGGCATGTTGAACCGTTTCGTCTGTACTTATGCAGGGTCTCCACTTCCGCAGGCTTTCTGTTTGAAAGCTGCTCGAGTGCGCGGCCTCAGGTCTAACGAGGCTGCGACGTGCGTGAGGCGCTTTAGCACGGTATCGTGCACGGTAAGTCTGGGCCGCAAGCTTGGGGGGTAAATTGCTGTTCACGCTCAAATGCAACCGTTGATCGTTGGAATCGGCATGTTGAACCGTTTCGTCTGTACTTATGCAGGGTCTCCACTTCCGCAGGCTTTCTGTTTGAAAGCTGCACGAGTGCGCGGCCTCAGGTCTAACGAGGCTGCGACGTGCGTGAGGCGCTTTAGCACGGTATCGTGCACGGTAAGTCTGGGCCGCAAGCTTGGGGGGTAAATTGCTGTTCACGCTCAAATGCAACCGTTGATCGTTGGAATCGGCATGTTGAACCGTTTCGTCTGTACTTATGCAGGGTCTCCACTTCCGCAGGCTTTCTGTTTGAAAGCTGCACGAGTGCGCGGCCTCAGGTCTAACGAGGCTGCGACGTACGTGAGGCGCCTTAGCACGGTATCGTGCACGGTAAGTCTGGGCCGCAAGCTTGGGGGGTAAACTGCTGTTCGCGCTCAAATGCAACCGTTAGTCGTTGGTATTGCCATATTTAACCGTTTCGTCTGTACTTATGCAGGGTCTCCACTTCCGCAGGCTTTCTGTTTGAAAGTTGCTCGAGTGCGCGGCCTCAGGTCTAACGAGGCTGCGACGTACGTGAGGCGCCTTAGCACGGTATCGTGCACGGTAAGTCTGGGCCGCAAGTTTGGGGGGTAAACTGCCGTTCGCGCTCAAATGCAACCGTTGATCGTTGGAATCGGCATGTTGTACCGTTTCGTCTGTACTTATGCAGGGTCTCCACTTCCGCAGGCTTTCTGTTTGAAAGCTGCACGAGTGCGCGGCCTCAGGTCTAACGAGGCTGCGACGTACGTGAGGCGCCTTAGCACGGTATCGTGCACGGTAAGTCTGGGCCGCAAGCTTGGGGGGTAAATTGCTGTTAGCGCTCAAATGCAACCGTTAGTCGTTGGTATCGGCATGTTTAACCGTTTCGTCTGTACTTATGCAGGGTCTCCACTTCCGCAGGCTTTCTGTTTGAAAGTTGCTCGAGTGCGCGGCCTCAGGTCTAACGAGGCTGCGACGTGCGTGAGGCGCTTTAGCACGGTATCGTGCACGGTAAGTCTGGGCCGCAAGCTTGGGGGGTAAATTGCTGTTCGCGCTCAAATGCAACCGTTAGTCGTTGGTATCGGCATGTTTAACCGTTTCGTCTGTACTTATGCAGGGTCTCCACTTCCGCAGGCTTTCTGTTTGAAAGTTGCTCGAGTGCGCGGCCTCAGGTCTAACGAGGCTGCGACGTGCGTGAGGCGCTTTAGCACGGTATCGTGCACGGTAAGTCTGGGCCGCAAGCTTGGGGGGTAAATTGCTGTTCGCGCTCAAATGCAACCGTTAGTCGTTGGTATTGCCATATTTAACCGTTTCGTCTGTACTTATGCAGGGTCTCCACTTCCGCAGGCTTTCTGTTTGAAAGTTGCTCGAGTGCGCGGCCTCAGGTCTAACGAGGCTGCGACGTACGTGAGGCGCCTTAGCACGGTATCGTGCACGGTAAGTCTGGGCCGCAAGCTTAGGTGGTAAATTGCTGTTCGCGCTCAAATGCAACCGTTGATCGTTGGAATCGGCATGTTGAACCGTTTCGTCTGTACTTATGCAGGGTCTCCACTTCCGCAGGCTTTCTGTTTGAAAGTTGCTCGAGTGCGCGGCCTCAGGTCTAACGAGGCTGCGACGTGCGTGAGGCGCTTTAGCACGGTATCGTGCACGGTAAGTCTGGGCCGCAAGCTTGGGGGGTAAATTGCTGTTCGCGCTCAAATGCAACCGTTAGTCGTTGGTATTGCCATATTTAACCGTTTCGTCTGTACTTATGCAGGGTCTCCACTTCCGCAGGCTTTCTGTTTGAAAGTTGCTCGAGTGCGCGGCCTCAGGTCTAACGAGGCTGCGACGTGCGTGAGGCGCTTTAGCACGGTATCGTGCACGGTAAGTCTGGGCCGCAAGCTTGGGGGGTAAATTGCTGTTCGCGCTCAAATGCAACCGTTGATCGTTGGTATTGCCATGTTTAACCGTTTCGTCTGTACTTATGCAGGGTCTCCACTTCCGCAGGCTTTCTGTTTGAAAGTTGCTCGAGTGCGCGGCCTCAGGTCTAACGAGGCTGCGACGTACGTGAGGCGCTTTAGCACGGTATCGTGCACGGTAAGTCTGGGCCGCAAGCTTGGGGGGTAAATTGCTGTTCGCGCTCAAATGCAACCGTTAGTCGTTGGAATCGCCATGTTTAACCGTTTCGTCTGTACTTATGCAGGGTCTCCACTTCCGCAGGCTTTCTGTTTGAAAGTTGCTCGAGTGCGCGGCCTCAGGTCTAACGAGGCTGCGACGTACGTGAGGCGCTTTAGCACGGTATCGTGCACGGTAAGTCTGGGCCGCAAGCTTGAGGGGTAAACTGCCGTTCGCGCTCAAATGCAACCGTTGATCGTTTGAATCGGCATGTTGAACCGTTTCGTCTGTACTTGTGCAGGGTCTCCACTTCCGCATTGTGGAGCCTGCGGCAATAACCAAGCTATGTTGGTCAGCGGCACAAGAGGACGCTTCATTATGGCAGGCTTGCCAACTGTTTGCTTTTGCCGTATATCTGAGTTTTGTGTTTCACATGGCTGTTGGCCATTTGAACGATACCCGCTTATTGGTCGGATAGGTTCATGACTTCATTGAGAAGGCGGGGATTTCCTTGCAGAGCATTTGCACAATGGGTCATATCGCGGGTAGGGAGGATTTTTGTTCGTGTGTGTGTGAGCAGCAAGTGGCGAGTTTGCTCCGCTTATGCAGACTTTGTCATTAGTCGCACCTCATGCATCAGGATGCTGCTGTCTTTGCTGCTCTAATTGCCGAGCCTCGTCAATCTTGTAACACAAGGACGAATTTCTGCACTCATCCCTTTGACTTGCATACTTTGCACTTCCGAAATACCTACCACACTGTTCGATGTTGTTGCTGCGATAGGGAAGCGTCCCTCCTTCGCCTTTCTCCGTTTCTAAGGGTTTGACTTTGAGGTTTCGAGATAAAGCGTGCCAGTCTGATGCCTCCATTCTCATCGACACTGGGAACATGACTTCAGCCCTTTTAAGTTACAAGTTCCACACAAGTGCGGGGGTGTCCATAAAAGCTGGGGGGCCCATGGACAGTAAATCGTCTTCGTGTGGTTACATGGAGGATCATCATCGTCCTCCCTCATCCGAATGAGCATGAAGCGCCTTAAAGCAACATGCCGGGCCTCCCAGACTTCCGAGCGGAACCTGGCTAGTGCCAGGGGTGGGGCCTCGGTCATAATCATGCGCTTGAAACGCGAGGTCACGCTCGTACTTTGCCCGTGTGCTTTTGTACGCCGGGGATTCCACAAAGACATGCATTTCATCTTCAACCACCCCGCCGTCACAAAGCTTGCAGGTGCACGCTGTGCACTCACGGCAGTTAGGCCAGTTAATCTCTAACTCCCAACCGCCTAACCAGAAACGTATAAGCACTGGATGCAAACGTTGGAGCATGGCGGTTCCAGCGTGGGCCAGCCACTTATGCCGTGCGCCCCTAAGTGGGGGCGCCCCTATCCAGTTCAGATAGCGACATGCCTTGACGCCGGTACTTCCACTTTGGAAGGTGCATGGATTACCTAGGGTATCCGGGCACTCCCACCGGGCGTTGAGCCGCCTAGCGAACTCTTTTAAGTAAGCTTCCCACTGGCAACCTAACGGTGGCGTCATGCGCTATGAGGTCGTCACCACGCAGACCGGCTGGGGGCTCAGCAGATGGTGAGTGTACGGATCGCTGCGGGCCTGACGGAGCCGATGGGGTGAACGCTCCGCCGCCGGAAGGAATGGAAAGGGCGGCAGCGGCGGCGGGAGTTGTCAGCGGCGGCGGGGGATGCGGCGTTGCCGTACCGTGTTGGCGGCATTCCTTTGCTCCCCCGTCGCCCTCGCGATCCCCCTGGAAAGCCCACGGCCATGCTGACGGTCTCCGAGGTCGGGGGGACTCTGACGACGCCACCGTCGCCGCCGTCGCAGCCGACGGCGACGGGATCGGCGACGGGATCGGCGACGATGTCGTACTCACGGCGGCCATTGTGGCGCGAAATGGCGATTCCGGGTCCCCGGTTGAGGTGATGGAGATGTACGGCAGCGCCGCCGAACGAGTGATGTCAGCGGCGGATATGGGTGTTCACACGCCGGGGAAGTTATCGTACTGCAAATGTACGGCTGGTGGCGCCGTTGCTGTTGCGTTGCTGGTGTCTGACCCAGCCCCGGCAGCAACCTGCGGTGTGAATGTTAGGGTTTCAGGGTTTTAGGGTTTTAGGGACTTGTGGCTTTGAGGTTTTAGGGTTAAGAGTGCGGAAAGAAACGTCCTGAAGGAGAATGAATTTTACTAAGGCTGTGCAAGATGAACTTCCACGTCGTAATCAACGATTCTAACTGCCATTACTATCACGTGGCCGTACCCCTAACGGTTCTTACCACAACGGCCATGGACGAGCGCCTCCGGGAACACAAGGACCTAGGTTCGCCGAACGTGAACTCGGGTCTGGGTAACGCAGCCTCCGCGCCAGCCGCCGCCGCCGCAGCAGCTCGTCCCATGCGCCTATCTGCCGTACGGCCGACGGGAGCGCCGCTGTTTACTTCCAAGGTTTCGGCGCCACCCTCGATGCCAGTGCCG